CTTACTTTCAGTATAAATGTGTACCATAAATCCATGGTGAACATTTGCCTTTATTATTTTAAAAGGGCCACGAAGATCCGGGAACTCTTGACATTTGTGCTTATCGGATATTTTAAGTGAAAACACGTAGGAAGCAAGTATTTGTTTGTTGCTGACTGTGTGCATAACTTCCCTGTGTATCAACCACGTGTCACACAATAACAAAGGCAGCATGTGGCATTGTGTGGTTAGAGCAGCCCAGAAAACGACCACATTCCTGTCGGCTGGGCGACTGAATGGCAGAAACTACTAACCCTCCCCCGGTCCCCCCCGCCCCCACAATCCGCCTTTCCCCCTTCTTTAAAACAGCCGCTGAGGATTGAGGGATGAGAAGACTTCCTCTTTAGAGAAGGCACATCTTTAATTTGAGCCTCTTCTCCTTCCACTTTTCTGACCAGATATCCATTTAAAGCCGACAGGCCGCCCTGGCGCTGGCATCCCTCTCCTTTGCTTTTCCTTTGCTTCTCCACTTCTCCTTGCCAGGCCACCCTGACTCCCTTTTTTTTCCCTCCTTCTTCTCATCTCTCTGCTCTGTTATTGATGGTGACACGCTGTCTGCCACTGTACTGACCACACACATTCTCACACACGGTTATTCTTGACCTCCTTTACATCCTCGTACAGTTAGTTTCATTTAAAAGTTAGCTCTGGTGGATTTTTTTCCCTCCTTTTTTCCTCTTGTATCCTTGGAGGTGTAAGCCCAGCAGCTAGTTCCAACACAGCCGTAGTGCTTTCTTTGAGTTGCGTTGTCAGTCGCAGAGAGAGTTTGGGACCGTGCCTCAGTAACAAAGGCCCGTGCACGCCTACGTGCACTCACCCGTACACCCGCATGAATTCTCTCTCCTCTCTCAAGTGAAGCATACGTTCAAATCCTTTTTTTTTTTTTTTTTTTTTTTTTGCTCTTCTTTGGAAGTTAGCTATTTCTGTGACATGCTCTCCGTTTCCTGTTCTCCTTTCTTATTCCTTCTTAGCCTCTCTCCACAAATTCTTTTGTGTTCGACTGAGTCCGAGAGGCAGTCATGCAGCGAGTTTGATTAATAATTACAGAGTACACAGAATTGGGAACGGGAAAAAAAAATGCCTCTTTGTTGTTTGATGTCCAACATGAGAGAAACCAAAATTACTAGGAGACAGAACACTTTAAAGAGGAGAGAAACCCTGCACATTCCTTTCTGTATCCGCTGCTTTTGTTCTTGGGCTGTTTTGTTCTTTGCGTTCTGCTGTTGCTCTTCTAGTTTTCTTTATTGCTTTTAATTTTGGGAAACGTTCATCTCTTTAAAAAACTGAAAATTTGCAAATGGTTATGCACACATAAAAGCTAACGTGCTGCATGTCCCTACATAGTGTGAGCGTTCCAGGACCTTGCAAAAGTATCCGCACCCGTTAAAGTCTTCCGTGTTTTCCCATCACAATCACAGTCTTACTCTACAATATAGTCTTCTAAAGGTTTACCGAAGTGTGGCGTGGATCTGTGTTCAGCCCCCCTCAAGTCAATCCTTTGAAGACCCATCTTTCACAACGATTACAACTGCAAATCTCTTGGGGTATATTCAAAAATAGCCCAAGCTCTGTCAGATTGGGCGAAGAGTGGCGGTGAGGATGAATTTTTAAATCTTGCTGCAAATTCTTAATTGCTTTCAGGTCTGGGTTCACTATTCTTTGATCGAACCATTCCCTTGTAGCCCTGTCCTGCTGGGAGACGAACCTCATCTTTGGTTTCAAACCTTTTGCAGCTTCAAAGAAATTTTCTTCTATTTTTAACTCCATCCATCTTTGGATTGATGGTCACCTTGTGGATGAAAAGTGTCCCTACAGCATGACGCTGCCACTGCCATGTTTCACTGTAGAGACAGTGTGTTCAGGTTGATGTGCAGTGTTACTTCTCCACCACACATATCCGTGCGGTGGGAATCTTTTGAATCAATCAGGTTGGGAATTCCTTGCACTGGATTCCGTACAGTGGAAATGAAAGTAAAGTCGGCTGAATACTTTACACCACACTATTTGGTAGGGCTGTGTAATAATATAAATTTTGCGATATATATCGAAATTTTCTTTCCTAGAAAAAAATTGATATTCATCCGCAAGTATCGTAACATCCAACTGTCACCTTGCTCACTCACTGCTTGCTTCGCCGGGAGTTTGATTAGGTCATCAGGCTTAGAGTGATTCCTTCAGATGTTAAGTGTCAAAGTTAAAAAGATATCAAACTATTCAGAGCAGGGTACTTGGTGCACTTTCTTTACTTTACAAATGCACGTAAGCTACAGTTTGTACTGTTTCAATTAAAAGAAACATGTTTTCTCACCACTTCTTTGATTCATTTTGTCCAGCTGTCGACTTTAAGTCTGTGTCCATGTCCAACCAGAGCGAGGTATTATGTAGTTGGTGCTTTTAATCAGTTTTCAGTTAAATTAATTCAATCCAAGTCTATAACAGTCAAAATGTCACCAAAATCACTCTGTCCCTCTAAAATCTTTCAGAAAATCGCAAAAGTGTATTGAATTGTATCGTTTGCGGAAAATCGCAGTATATATCGTATCATGGGCAGAATATTGTGTATCGTATCGTGAGATTATTGTATCACTACAGCCCTACTATTTGGATGTGTATTTGTTAAAAAAAAAATCAAGTTAAAACTGTCTACCATTGTCCTCTCACTTCATGATTATGATTTACTTTTTGTTGATCTATTATAAATTATATGAAAACCCAATAACATGTTGAAAAAGTCAACAAATTTAAGGGGTATGAATACTTTTGCAAAGCGCTGTACCTTGCACACTCCATGAATATATACACACACATACATGAAAGTTCATACCCTGTCTTTGTAATAGCTGTTCTTCTCATGAGTTTAAATGGATCCCCCACTGGCCAGGATTCCTTCCCCCAGTTGTTCAGCTGTCCAGGGGGGAATAATTATCCACACCTTTTTAGAGCGCTCATTTACAAGAACAGGGAAGAAAGTGCACTGACACACGACCGGCACGTGCTACGTCCCATACTTTATTTCACACTGTGAAACAAAGCAAAGGAAGAATGCAAAACTGGTCATGCATCGTTATCTGTAACTCTGACATATTTTTGCATCAGAATGAGGATCTGCAGGATTGTAACTCCAGGGAGCCGGTCGTGCATCATGTCTTTTGCTTTATTTTACAGTTTTGTAAAACTGGATTGAATAGGCTTACTTGCAGGTTCCTCCAGGAGTGGTGTGGCGGACATCTCAAATACAAAATAGGCCAATTAATCAGCCACACATAATTTTCTGACATGCATGACCCCAGTAGATGGATTTTTTTTTTTTACTGTCCAAGTCTGACTGATTGCACGAGTTCACCCTGCACTTTATGTGTGACGGTCATAAACTGTTTGATTTTCCTGTTGATTACAGGTTTCTAAAAATGTTTTGCCACCATTAATTTGACGCATTTCACTTTGCATGAATTTGCAAATTGCACTTTAGGAGCACAGCAGAAAGGTTCAATATTTGAGCAGAAATTGAGGTTAATTGAAGGGCTGGAATTGCCTGTAGGTCTAGATGTGAGTATTTCAGCTCTGTGACTGACTGATCAGTCAAGGGTGCACTCTGCCATTTGCCCCGATGTCAGCTGGGTTGGAGCAAAAACTCGCCTCGCGCGACCCGTGGTGGGAGGGAGGGGAGGAGGGGGAGGATGGGTTTGTTTGAATGGATACAAAAATAAACCCCTTCCATTCCAACCTTCATATCTACCTCTGTCATCCATCCGCCTCGACATCCGCCCTGTCCTCCACACACACACACACACACACACACACACCCCTGTGCTGTTAAGTTTGACAGCTGCTCGGTTGCTCCTGTATATGATGTCGAGGCTGGGCATGCTGGCTGCACTCTGACAGGTCTCGGTACGGTGCTGTCCCCCTCAGTATGCCTGTCAGTCCTCCTCTACTTGCTCCTCTGTGACCTGACATTTGGCAGCCGTAATCACAAGCCGGCATGGAGGACACACACAAATTTCTAGCGCACAATTGTATGGCAATATGAGGATCCATTTATTGCCTGTTAAGTTTGCATTGAATTTATGTAAAACTTCAAACTAAACAAATAATGTAAATGAAGAAAATTTACAGTTAGGATTGTGTGCAACAACAAATAATTAGACTTCAGCTTCAGTATAAATATATAAACTTTTAGCTTTTACATTTTTACTTTGACACCACTAAATTAAATTCAGTTCCACCATTTTGGTAAAATCATATCAATTTTCAGTCTTTAAATGTATAATGCTGGTGGAGACATGCTCCAAAAAGAGTTGCCGCTGTAAACGCAACACAACAGGTGGTTTCACAGAGCATTGACTCAAATGGCCTTGGTGCAGAAGCACTTTTCAGATTTCTATTAGAGAAAAGAGATTATTAAAACCATTTCTTTTTTACAGAATAAAGAAACTTAAGGATATTTATGTTCTAAATGCACTGTACGACTTCTGCCCAATGGCAAGACGATAGAGGGGAGTCATGATAGACTGCTTTCCTAAACAGTATCGACTGAGTACTGAAGTGGAAGCAGGTTGAGAGAGTAATTGAGATTCTGTTTAGATGAGAGATTTACTCATCAGAATGTTATGTAAAAGCTTATCATAAAAAACCTAAAAAGTCAGTGTATGTTTAGTGTGATCATGGCCTCTAAATTATCTAAAAATCAAAAATGAATAACAATCTCCCGTTCTTCATATTTAACTGCAAAAATAAGGTTTTTTTCAGAGTTCCTTAACATGACAAGTGGATGTCTGCAAAGACGACAGCCGATTGCAACACATTAGTGTTTCCAAATTTATGATAATTGAGTGTAGACTTTTGAGAGCCGGAGTCGGCCTATTCTTCAGTTTGCTATTTCTCTCTCCTCTTTCCTGCTGCTGATAGTCTTTGCCTGGGTGAAGTATATTCATTCCTTTGTTCTTGTGCTTGCTTTGAAGAGAGATGGAGAGCCAGCTGGACAGGGCGAAACAGAGCCAAAGACAGCAGATCCAGCAGGCCGATTTGGCACTGGAGCAGTTCAAGAAGCAGGTGGAGCTCAGCTCTGAGAAGGTCTACACTGACATGAAACTCCAGGTCTGACACATAAATATAATCCTCACCCTCGAATATAACTGTGATTTGGTCAGATGTGATTAGGTTTGGGCTTTTCGCCAGGAATGTTTGGAACAACAAAGGATGAATACATGGGAAATCAATCACGTACGGTGCAGGATGTGGGACTGTTTCTCTTTTATAAACCTAGGGAACTTTGTGCATCGTGTAACAAACTGTTGGTCTTTTACCAGAAGAGTGATCAAAAACACCAAATAAACATAAAAATGACTTGTCACACAGAAAACTGACCTTGATGTCTGTCTCAATCCTCACCAAATCAGATTGAAAGCCCGTGAGGTGAGCTGAGAAGAGGACACAATATGACAGAATCCAAATCTTTGGAAAATCTAGAGAGGATTTCTCTTCTCTCTGTAGGAAACTAAGTACTGCCCAGTAGGCCAAAAGGGGATTTAACACATTAAAACGCTAGCAGAAAGATGGTTGTGGAAACTTTGATTTTTTTTTTTTTTTTTTTATCTCGGGACTTTAATTAATTAATTTTGATTAATTAATTACGTAGAAATTTGTAATGAAATTATAATTTTTTTTATTTTGTATATAAAAGTTCAGAGCGGAACATTTGTATTCACATGTTTCTGATATGCCCGTAAATCTGACGTACACCACACGTGACAACAGAGATGGACGACAAAGCTGCTTTTCTTGACCCACTGGAGATTCATTTTTGCTTCAAAAACCAATCTGATGGGATGCAGGAAAAGACTGTTGCTCTGTGCAAATTGTGGAAAAACGCCTTTTATAACCTGTGCAAGCCTAAAATATCATCTCGGTACAAAACAACATCAACAAACAGCAGCAAACAGATGTCCCCAAAAAAATCTATATGTAAGAACCAAAAACATAATCACCCTCGGGCCGTTCGCTCTCGTTTGGTGAACTTGTATAAATGAAATCAAATAAAATCCTTCACATTAAACTTGAATTTTTCCACTAAGACTTCATGACCTCACAGGTTGTAAGTGGGCAGGACACCGGGCGCTCGGGTTCCAGTAGGGAACGGACCGCGCACAATGAGCAGTTACGCTAATTAGTCCGGCAGCCGTGCCTTCCCATCAGCAGTCGGCGTTGCGTGGGCTGCTGTTTATTGGAAAAGTTTCCCAATCAATACGCACTCAGTGTACAATTTCTGATGCTGTCTACTGCTATAGGCATTTTTGTTGTTGTTGTTGTTGTTGTTGTTGTTGTTGTTGAACAAGTCGAGCTATGCCTTGTGAGGTCCTAAATGTTTTAAAATTTTCCGTGTTAAAGAGATTTGCAAGTTTTAGTTGCCGATTAGTGAATTTTTTTCACTTAATTGTTGCGTTTGGGGGCACTCTGGGCGTATGAATATGAGAGACTGTGTGGGAGTCGAGTTTATGCTCGGAAATTTCTTGACACATGAAACAACCTTTGTTTCCCCGAGACTTAATTTAAAGAAATTAATTATGCCATCTTTTATTTCCCTCTCTCTTTTGTAAAGTCCTGCCCCACTTTAGGTACAAATATTATTGGATGGATTCATCAGAGTTTGTTTTTTTTTTTGTTTGTTTGTTTGTTTGTTGTTGTTTTTTTTCCAATAGGATCGCCTCCACATGAGTATTTTTAAATATTTGAACTGGGAGTCTTGGTTTTTTTTCCCCCCTCTCTCCTCTTGAATGCAGTACTTTTCCTTCTCCCTTCTGCTTCTGCTGCTCTCATCCTTCCATCCTCTCGCTTGCTCCTTCTTTTCCCATTGAGCCCCTGGCATCCCGATCTTCAATCTGACTTTATCCTCAGCCCACATCAAAGCCGTGGGAGCGCAGAGCAGTCTCCTCTGCATCCCTGTCATCTTCTCTCCCTCGTTCGCTCTTTCCTCCTCTTCCTCCTCCCCTCCCTGCTTGTGCATCTTCCTGCTAAGGCTTTAATGTTGTGGAAAGCACTTCAAAAGAAGTTTTTTACTCTTTTCTCATCCTCTCGTCATTCCTTTCATCGTCCTCGCCGTTTCTCTTTTTACAGATGGTGTGATATCTAAATGGATTATCTGCGTCACTCTTTTCTTTATTTAAAAAAATCGGCTTCTTCCATTCAGACTGCAGTTACAGGGGAAGATCCTGCCCTATTTTGGTTTGAAAAGAAGAAGAAGAAGCAGTAGCGTTGTTGTATAGAATGAAATCTGTGTTGCGTGGAGAGCTCAAAGAGGTTTTAGGATTCTAAACAGATTAATAAAGAACACATTCAGGATTTCGTTGATCTTACAAGCAGCATAGTTGAGATGTTTCCTTAAATTGCAGCTTCTGTTGTTATTTTTCATCACTTGAACAAAGAATGAAAACTGTTGGCTGTGAGGAACGGTAAGATAAAAGGAGGTGATGGTGTTTAATATCTCCTCGTACACAAAGATTGCAATCTGACACTTGATTTGGACTAGCTTATATTTGTTTCACATTGAATGAATACGTTAAAATCATTTGTAGCAGGATTAAACTACATTTAACTAGATTACAATTCATAAATCACTCTGATTACTTCTTAAAATGTAACCTTACCTTCTCTATTACATTTTAGAAAGAAGTTTGATTTAGAATTCATTGAGAATATTTCACTGAAAAGATGTACAGATTGATGGAGAACGTCAGTAAAATTATGAATCTGATCTACTGTTAGCTAAAAAAAAAAAAAAAGGACTAAGAAAGCAGAAATAAATCCTAACTTTATTAAGAGAAGGGTGAAAATTTACACTGAAAATGAAAATCATATCTAAATATTACTATCGAAACTTTAAAAAGGAATACACTTTAAAAATCTAGGATCTTTTTTTGGCTTATATGGTTCTAAGTAACAATATGTTTTAAGTCCTCAGAGCCGCCTTTTTTTTAAACATATTAAAACTGTTTATATGTCTACATATAAACAGAACCAGTAGAATCTAGAATCACTAACAGTTATCTAAAACTGAAAAAACTCACATAAAACCTAAAGAACACCAAGCATAGAAACCTAAAAACTATCAGAGGCTTGCTGACTTTCTCAGTTACTGAAAAGAGAGATTCTGTGACCTAATTCTATTTCTTTAAACTTAAAGGGTAATTTTAGGAAAGAAAATGCTTTCAGGCTTCAGAAACACTCTGACGGTTTTCGACTTCAGAATAACCTGACAACTTTCCTCAGCAGGTCAAACTAGATCCGAATCGAGATTCCTGGCAGTTCTCAGCTTGTTAATTTGTTTAGATAGTAGTCTTCTGAATGTTTTCTATTAAAAGCATTCCTATTAGGTGTACAAATTAGTTCTTGCTTGTTATTTTTTGTTCATCTTTAAGTTTTTTTTTTTAGTTTCTGTTTTTTTTAAATCAAGTTGAGTAAATAATAACTAATATTCTAGATTCTTGATTCTGTTGGTGAGTAGTTGTTAACATCTCATTAAAACATTTTTTTTTTCATTTACTCTCAGTACATTTGAAATCCTGAAGGAATAAGATTTAAAATTTCATCTTTTGAGCGATAAGGAAATGTTAGGATTCAATATTCACATAGATTTTTTTTTTTTTCATGGAGTTATGAGATTAAGCAATTTATGAATATTAATGAACTTAAATGTTATTTAACTCTGCTACATATTAGTCAAAGTGAATGCCACACATTTCGCAGTAATGTGAATTGCAGAGGATTTCATCCTCACACGTTTAAAAAAAATAAAATGTTGAAGTTTTCCGTCTTGTTGTTTCTTCTTGTTTCACCACCAGATGGAGAAGGTAGAGGAGGACTTGATCCGCTCCAAAACCCTCAGGGAGAACCAGGCCAAGGAGTTCTCTCTGCAGCTTGATGCACTGAGACAGAAATACGAGCAGCAGGTTTGTATGAGGCTGGAGCTCTGTGTTCTTGCTGCTTTTGTTCCAAACAGCAACGTGTTGTGAGGGAAAGCTTAGCCTGTCAGAGCTGACGTCTATTAGGAATGCTTCGCTCTTTCCTATCTGTTCTGCCGGATGTTTCTCATGCTAAAGGACACGCTTTACATTACGCTTCGATTCCAACCCAATAAATATTTTTTATCCTGGCCTTTTGAACACTAATGCGCGCTGCATGGTTCATTTGGCGTTTTATCTCTTTGCGTCTTTTTCAGTTTAGAGTCAAGATAACATTTTAAAGCACACGGACTGATGGAGAAACATTGGATTTAATTAAACCATAGGATTGAATGTTATTTCACACAGCTGAATTAATTATTTAAGCCATGAAAAACACTTGAGACTAATTTGACATTTTCACATACATGCTGATTGAGTATAAAATAGGAAATATATATATATATGTAACAGCACCCACTGTTTTGGAAGAATCTGTAAATTACATGAAAATTAAGGGAGTTTCCTCTCGGCAGCATAATCGCGTACTGCAAAATGTAGAAAAATACAACCCTTAACATGAGCACATTTATTTGTTGGAGGAAAGAAAAATCGAGTTGGAAAACTATTTTTAAAATTCAAATATTTATACCACTAGCATTTCTTAAAATATATAGGCTGGTATTTACTTAATTTATTCTTTACTTTTCAAATTGATCAGAGTGGCAAGGAACTTTTATTTTGAATTTATGACTTCCTGTTCTTACATGTTATAAATATAATGTGAAACAGAGGCCCTGTTCTTCTTAGGCACTTTTCAAAATGGAAAAGGCAAGAGGTTTCTGTATTCAACTAAGGTAGTTGGTATTGGTCTTAACAAATCAAGAAAATACAACAAGCAAATAGCCACTCTTCCATAACTCCCAATGTCTGCAGCCTGAGCTCTAATAAGAAAACACTGGGGCTTGACGAACATGTCTGGATAAGGATTAGAGTTTGTCTTGCCACCACATTCAGTGCAGAGGATGGTAGGGGAAAAAAAAACAACAAAAAAACGTAGAAGCACAAATATAGATGTTTTTTTTTTATATGCAAATAGTTCTGGTTGGTTTGGTGTGAATCAGAGGATAAAATGTGGAAAAGAACCTCACATGTGCTGTTGAGTACAGTGGAAGGTCTGTGATGCTGCGGGCCTGTGTCTCTCCTAACGGCCCCATACCAGAGCTGATAGCATCATGAACTCTTAAAGATGCCATTAGAGTTTACTTTAAAATTCTGATGATCTCTGCCAGAGCATTGGATTTTTCAGCTTGATAATGTGTCAAATTAACACGGGAACGGTTCACCCGATTCAGTAACCACTTCTGTTACATTGTCATGTAAAAATTAATTTGTTGCATGTTTTTTTTTTTTCTTACTAAATAAATGGACTCAAATTAAAGTTTGGATTTTTGAATGTGAGATTATGCAATTGCAATAAACGGCACAGAGTGCTGCATTTGAATTTACTGGTCTCATTCCATGACACAATTATTGTTAAGTTTAAAAAGAATAATAATAATAGGCTTGCATTTCCCCCATGTTGACATGTACAGTGTGACCATGTGACACACCACAAGGGCGCTCCACTAACTGCTGTAACGTCTCCATTTCCCTTCCGTATCCGCAGCGTGATTGCTTTCCAAGCACCAAACCTGTGCGTTAATAAGCATGCTAACTCTCATTTTCTGGCTAGATGGAGTTTACGCTGCGTGTAATTTGCGGTAGATTGACGTGAATGAAGGGGTGTTACTTCCAAGGAGAGGGGAAACCATTTCCTTACTAACATGCACCACGGCTGAACAGCTGTGGTGAATTGCGATAACCATTTCTTAAAAAAAGAAGAAGAAGAAAAAAAATCTTTTAACACTGGAGAGTTGGTGGAAAATACACATATTTTAACTGATATCGAACAATGAAGGTTAAGTTGTCTAACAGTAAATATTGTTTCCCCCAAACTCTGATTTGCAGCAACAAAGTCACGATTTTCAAGTTGTATTCATATATGATGATCGTCGTGTGCCGAGGAGGCGAAGCTGGGACGGCCAAACGTGGCGATCAGGAACGCTTTTCTCTATAAGATAAAAAAACACAGACGATTGATTCAGCTGTCTGATGAGAGTTTTTCCTCATCAGTCAACGGGAATGCATTTGAATGGACAGGAAGACTGTTTTATTATTTATGAATGCTATTTCATGTTCAATTCTTTTTTCCACATGAGCTTTTTGACACTTTCTTTGTGAGCTCCCAGTCTCTCAGGCCTGCGCGCGCGCGCGCGTGTGTGTGCGTGTGTTTTTGCTTCCGCTCCAGAAAGATTGGTGTCACAAGATTGAAGGGGTCGTGGTGCTGGAGTCCGTTCGGAGAAGCAAATTCCCTCTGGGGCGGCTTTAGTGATACTTTTAAGTGGAGAAATAGATCAGAGGGGAGCTGTTGGCCAGCTGACCCTCCACGCTGCCAGGCACGGTTTCTGGATCTAGCTTAAATTCAGAGCGGTCTTATAGCTGGTTTGGAGTCGAGAGCTTAACACTCAGGGGAAATGCTTTCCAGCTTTACTCTTCATGTGTCAGACTAGCGCATTAAATGAAGAAGAAATCTAGTTTATAGACGTATAAGTATATAAGTAGATAGAACATGTCTCTATTCACTCTCTTTGGAGCTCTCTGTCCATCAAACCCCACAATGAAGAGAAGACGGTTGCCTTTTTTTCCCATTTCAGAATTTAACTCCAGCCATTTTTTCCGCTTGAGACCAGTAGTGTCTGTCCTCTTCAGAGCAGAAGAAGCCCTTTTTACCTCACTGTCCAATCTCAATTTGTACCACATAATTCCCTGGAGCTCCAAATTGTGCCCTAACTGACTCACTGTTTCCTAGAAAGCTGCCACGCTGGTCCCTTTAAGAACCGCAGCATCCTGTACTGCATGCGTCTCATGTGTAATGTCACATCCAGACTCCCTTTAGGGAATGCTCTCCGTCTGCTTCTCTCCTCTAATTGTTGATTTCGCATTATATCGAAGTCTGTCAATCTCTGTAAGAGTTTGATAGAGATCCTCCAACATAAATCTAATGATTTCTGAGGCAGCATATTCTGCATGGATTTGTAGGTGTTTCATGTCTGAATGTTAGTAGAGTTGAGACATTTTATCTGTTGGGTTTTCTGTAGTATCAACATCACCAGTAGCAGCATAAGAAAGACGATCTTCTTATTTTAGCTTAAATGTTATTTCCTCATTTTTAAGCCAGTTTTGGATAATAATAATAATAATAATAATAATAATAAAACATCTGCCAAAGCATAAAATATGTTTTAATAGTGTGTGTTTTATTTGAAGGAATAAAAGGCAAAACAAAGATGTTACACATCCAAGCCAGACTGTCAGAATACACTTTCACTTATAAGACTCTTATAGTATTGACCTTTCTCTCAGGATGTTTGGCAAAACTACAGGGCCATTCAGAAGTTTACGTGATCTCTCGGTCGCTATATTCTGGGAGAGTCTGGAATTGGATTTCACCTTTTTGTGTGAGGAATAAGTACGGAAAAACGTTTGCATTTCCAGACTTAATTCCATGTTTTTTGACTAAATGTCTTCCTTCTTTTCTTCTTTCAGTATTTATGAGCATTTGTCCCTAATTTTGTCCTCACTCTTTAATGCCCCTTTTCTTTCCTTCCACTATTCCTTTTGCTGTGACTTCTATCCCTCTTTTTGTCTTCTCTTTCTTCCATCCTTTGTATCTTCTTGGTGTCCTGCATTTGTAAATTCTTTGCATCATTTGTAATTTCTTCTTTGTCTTCCTGTTTCCCCCACCCCTTCCTTTTGTGCCCTACCTCTTCCTTATTAGTTTCCTTTCTTGTCCTGATTTATTTCCTTTCTTTTCTTCCTTCTGTTTTTTCCTTAATTTTTTAGATCATTTTGTTCCTTCTCTGTGTTGTACTTTCCCTTCAAAGTGTGCATTTCTACGCAGCGCCATGTCTTTAGTGTTCTTTCTTTTTTCCTCCATTTCTGGTCCTGCAGGTATTATGTGCCAACATTGCTAACAACACATGTCTGACATTAATTTATGATGAATGTTTGCATAGAGTTTTGAAATGGTAATATAAAATGCATGAGAATCCTTTTTTGGGGTAATGAGTTGAATGTTTTTGGAGTTTAGTAGTTTTTCTTAACTGTTCTGTTTTTGGTCGACTGACATTATGAATTATAAGTTAACTTGTATGATTTCACAAAAAGAAAGATTTGAGTGCACAAGTTTCTTCTTCTAGTGTAATCTAGCTGAATATTTTAGCCCTTGTTGCCAGAAATGGTAGAATCCATTTAAATTAGTTAGTGTCCTGGCACAGACTGTTCCTTTTCAGCAAAAGTCCACACATTTTCTACAGGGCTGAATTCTGGGCCACTCCAGAAGCTTAATATGTTCTTGCTGTGTGTGTTTGAGATTATTAAGTTGTCAATTTTGGGCAAAGTTTATGAATTTTGAGATGATTGAATGCAAACCTCCGACAGTCGTCGTGCAGCAAAACCAGAAGAATAAATCTTTGGACGCCTAAATGAGCATTTATGTGGCCATTCTTACTTTTTAAAGTTGGAATCCAGCTTCCTGGAGATATTTCCTCATTCATCGCCCACTCTGAATAGTGCTTGGTGTTCACAGCCAGTGGCGTGGACAGAGCAGACATCGGGCGCAGAGGCTGTCGATCTTCGCTCCTCTGGTTGGCCAGGTAGGGGGTGCCGTCATGCACAATGTGTGCGGATTAGCTTCAAAGCAGGGAGGCTAGTGGGCCCCGGGCCCCTGCTGTCCTTTCAGGGCTCGGGCTGGGCCAGCGCGGCGAGGACGATGTGGGGGTTGCTTGTCCCTCACTCCACCACAGGGGACTGGGAACAGAGTCTGGGAAAGGCTTGGGAGCTTCACCGGCCCGGCCTTCACATCCCAGCAGGTGACTCCTCTTACAGCTCATCTAGAAAAACGGACTTGCTTCAACTGACAGGATGATTAAACCCTGAAAAATTAAAGCTTTTTGTCCCATTAGAAGCATTTTCCTCGATGACACTGTGATCTTATAGACTGAAGTTTTTTGCCAGACTTAAATCTTCAGGATATTTATGTTTCAACCTTTTCCATTGATAATATTTTCATAAATCTTTTCTCTTGAATGTTGGATTTCGCCCTCAGGGTGGATAAACCTTAAACATCCACACAAATATTATCTTTTAAACTTTGAAATTGAAACTGTCGTAGAGGGACTGTCAAGAATCATTAAGCGTCTTCCTCTCAAACTTTCGTACTTTTTCGGATTATAATAATCATCATATTCTTCGCCTAAGCCGATTTTTCACATTCTGTCAAGCGCATAGCATGGGGCATGGGGTGGTTACTGCCGCCAGATGGCTAACCCCTACCAGCTTTCTTACATAGCAGAAACCGGCGACCCTTTCATATGCCGACCTCAGAATGGGACGAGTGAGACCAGCCACAAGGGAGAGACTTGGACATTAAGGGCCAGTCCCTACAATTAGCAGTGGGAGGTTTGAGGGTTGGGGGTGTGGGGAGCAGGATGGATGTAAACACCTCACATTATGTTTTCGTGTCTGATGATGTGAGGACGCACAAAAACTTTCCGCGCTCTTTTTAATTTTTTTTTAATTTATCTTATGTTTTTTTTCTACCGCATCCCTTCTAATCTTGCTTAATTAGCCCGGCACGCTGGTTGGATGAAAGTGTCGGTTGGAAACGGGACGATGAAGATGAAGAAGAAAAAAAAAAAAAAAAAAAGTAAATGGACAAGTTGTCATGACGACGAGGTTTGGAGCGCGTGTGTTGGCTGATGAAGTCACTTTTTGCCGGCTTGTCCAATCAGATGGCTGAGCAGCACGCGCAGCACGAGCAGGAGAGGACGCGGCTACAGCAGCAACACAGCGCGGAAAAGGACAACCTGGTCCAGGAGCACCAGCGGGAGGCGAGCAGCCTGGAGAGGCAGGCCAGGGCCACCCTGCAACAGCACCAGCAGCACGCCCAGGAGTGGAGGAAGCACGATGCCCAGGTAGGGGGTCTCGACAGATCAACCTTCACAGACGCAGACTCGCACACACACCCACACCAACACATGCTGACCCGCCGCTCTCCCGTGGATAACTGTTTCGCTTTTCGCCCATTGACGTCGTCCTGGGGTTTCAAAAGCACAGCGGGTTGAGACACTTTTTAACTTGAAGCAAGGCACGTTCTTACTCTGGGTGTGAATAATTTTTCTGATTGCTGCGTACTTCGTGCGAGAATTTTAAATATGGATGTGCGAACAGAAAAATACAATACAAGGAAAACTACAGGAAACAAGGCACAACTAAAGAAACGCAAGAAATCTAAGTTTCGATATTAGTTTCCTATTGTTTAATTACCAAAACAAGTTTCTAGAAGCCACTATAAAGGTTTAAAACACTGAAGTTATCAGCTATGTATACAACCAATCTTTGTTGTGTTTTTATTTATAAATCCACACTTTTAGATGCCCTGGTGAGCTTTCCGAACTGCAGGCGAAGTGTATCTATTTTACAGGGCTTTGTCCTCTCACCGCAGGAAGTCATCTCTCTCCGGAAAGCGCAGTTTATTGTCTTATTACAGCATTTTCCTGCACAATGACCTCTATGAATTCTTGATGTGAATCAATGGACATGTCAGACATTGAGGGGGCTATTCTTTTATGATTTACCCCAAAAGCAGCAGGTCTTCAGCCTAAACCCCTCCGCTGGGTTTTGGGCGCTCTCCAGCCTGGGTAATAGATTGGAGCTCTGTGGGAAGCTGTTTGATAAACCAGCCCCCAACTGGGGTTGTTTTTTGACTCGTCAGGTTTCGTGGAGAAACCAAATTTGTCAGCATGGAAAATTTTTTATTTATTGGACGTTGGCTAGAAAACGGCAAACCACTTGGGATGACACTTTTGGCGAAAAATGCTCAAAATTAGTTAGTTTGCACTTTTTTTTTAGATGAAAGTAAACATAACGAGTTAAACAGAAAAACAATCTTTATTAAATTTGAGTATGTTTCCTTTAATTTTAGTTTTTTTTCAAGAAATGATTTCTTAACAGAAAAAAAACTCACGCATTAAATACTTTGCCGCTCCCTATTCGTCTACGACTGATTGACACACCTCAGCATTAACAAAGAATTTATAGGTAAAAGCCATCCAGAAGTGCCAAAGTAATATATTTCAATAGACTTTCCAAAAATGTAATAAAAAAAATCTTATTGTTTCGTTTCATGATGTGATAGTCTTGAGAAGCTTTGTTTTCGCAGCATGTAAAAGTAGGACCCATTTGTGAGGATGTGATTTCTGGAGATGCCGTCACCACAGGACATGACTGCTCACAACGCACTGCTCCGCTCATGTCAAAGCGACGTACGGCTTGACAGATCTTGGCATCTGACGACGTTGGGGAGGAGGGTGGACTGAAAACAAATTTCCCCCCCCCAATCCTCATTTCATATTCTCAGTTCCTGTTGTTCACCCGTTCAGCAGTTTAAAGAAGCGGCATGACGGCTGTCTAATGTCAGAGCGTCAAAATCAACGTTTCAGGCCGTGAAAGGAAGGAATACACTACGACGATTTCTCTGACACCGACAACTGCAGATGTCGGTGTCAGACATTTGTTAGTATGATGTTTGCATGCGGAGTGTCTTCCAGCCAGTTAAAAACACTGCGAGGCTTGTTTCGCATCATTTTAACGCTGGTTCAGATAGACAATGCTGTAGTCTCAGCTTGTCTTCATGCTTAATAAGTCTAAAGTTGGCGAAGAAGGAGAACAGCCAACTTCAGTGACTCCCTCCCAGGATGAGTAATAGCTGCTCATCTCCTGGTTGTGGCAAGACTCTAATAAACAGCATTCCTGGCTCGGGGCTTGTGTTTGAGCAGGAGAGCGGATGTGTCGTCGCAGCAGCTGGAGGGAAGAGCTAAAAAATTTGAACAGGGACGCGACTTCATCCCACCAGACTGCGTCAGTCAGCAAACTCTGCTGCAGCTCATTAGAAAGGCTGCATCACCCATCTGTTGCTCACTTGGGGTTTCTACATCATTTAGCACTCTGCTAAATGCACGCAAATATATCCTTTCTTCTTATTTATTGTCCAGAACTTAATTAGAGTTGTAATTTAGGGTTGCGGTTTATAATTTTGATGGTCGTTGACCTCTTCTTGGCTCAGAAAATTAGGTTTGCATCAGCATGGTCTCTAACAGTGGTAAACTTGTTTTAAAGTTTTCTAAAGTGGGATGAGGGAATTTCAGTCATTAGTCCGTAATGATGCGATATCTCGCCGCCTGCAGCCAGCTGTGTGTGTTTCTGTTAGCTGATTAATGCCCCCCAGAGGATGAAGTGGTGCCTTAATTTGTTTCAGTGATCCAACACCAGCATGCGTTCCTGACTCCTGATTTCAACCCCAATCCATTTCATGTTTTTCCATGTTTTTTTTTTTTGTTTTGTTTTTTTGTTGTTGTTTTTTTTCAGTTAGGGCAAACACCCAAACAATAAGTTGGCTTACTCACAAAGCTTTTTGAAATTAAAATTAAAAATGATTTCTGCCCCCCCCCCCCAAAAAAAAAAAAGTGACAATCTCCTTCAGGGGTATTCGCAAACTCATAAAAAGTCTGAAATACATCCAGGTTTTCTCTTCTTGGTCAACATTTACAGTTGGTTACATTCATAATTTGTATGTTTCTTCATTTGCTTGTTCCAAAATGTCACTGGAGGCACTGGCAGCATAAGTTGTGGTTCTGTTTTTTTTTAAGCAATTCCAATGTCTTTCCCACAGGGTTTGGGCACTTTTGCAGTTTGTTTAGGGAATTAAAAATGGACTGATCCTTTACCAGCTCAGTTATCACAGGAAACTTTATACAGCAAGATTAGGCTTGAAAATAGGACTCTAGCCATTTGATGCCAACTTTTTTATTTTAACATGCTTATATCTTTAGCAAAATTGCTACTTTCCCCAAAAAGCTTGTTTGTGTCGACTCCTACTCTTGTCGACTGCCCTCCGGTGGAAGATCAAAGTTAAATATGGCTACACGCACCTAGAGGATGCAGAGCTTTCCTTGATTATTGATGTTTTTTTTAAATGCTTGCATAAAACATGCAATGTTTTATTGAAGAAAAAAATATATAAATATGTATATCAATTGATACAATTATGTGTGTCAGTTGATTTTTACCGAATTTCAGTATCATAATATTAAGACGTTCGATTAAGTCATACTAGTTAGAAAAAAAGGTAGCAGTGATTATTACTGAAATCCTGATTATGCTTACAATATAATTGTCTTTCGAAAAGCATTTAGTTCAGAAAATAAAGCATAAAACTTGTTGTCAGTAACTGTAACACTTTGGTGGCATGTGAAGTAGTCAAGAACACACGAATAATAATTCATTTAAGTTATTGCAACCCAAACCAGTGCCGTCTGGACACCATCCGGCAGACCATAATGTGGAATTCAGCCTTATTTTTCTCCCCCCAGCTCCTATTAAAAGAATTATATCTTCTAAAAAAAATGCACTGTGGCAAGCAGAAGGTGTGTCTGCCCTGCAACGGTACTACAGCTAGATAACATCGATGAAAAATCAATGAAATGCACCTGCTGGATCTGATGAGCATAGACTTAACTTATTACTTTACATCTAATGCATTTTACATGTAAAGTAAGTAAGTCAAGGTATCTTAATTTATGTATATTGCATTCAAATCCTAGGGATCCTGAAGGTCACAATAAGTTTTTAAGTACAACTCATTGAAACTTGCAGAAACGTCTTTCTTTCTTTCGAATTTAAAGCTCATCGTTCCTATTATTTCCCACTTGTTTCCCCTCAAACTCCTGGGTGGCTGTTATTTTCTCTGGTAATTATTTCTCTTCTGAAGGATCGTACACACCATCTGGACTTCAATAGCAGAGGAGAAAGTAGGAACTTATTTGAGTTATTTTGCCTCAGTCATGTTGAACTAAATTATGAAGGTTTTTTTTTTTTTCCTTGTTGTTGCTTTCTTTCTTTTTTTTTTTTTTCAAAGGTTTACAATCCCGAGACGCGATTAAACCGCATCAAATGAAAAGGATGATGACAGACTGTGTCAAAGCTGAGATAAAAAAGGACAGCCTAGACTGGGATGGTCTGCGATGTGTTGTAATTCTTGCATAGAAATTGTTTTGTTACTTGGTAACAATTTACTATTTCACATATGCAGAAGGACTCATATGTGTGTTCTGACTACACGGCATATTTAAAGTTGCTGGGTCTCGCTCTACAGTGTCTTATAAATATTAAGCTTCCTGAGTAAGGCTCCCTCAGTCTACTTGTCTGTGCTGTTCATCAATATCTTTCTTTAGAAAAGTTAATTCATGTTTGAGTTCAGATGATTTCTGTTTCATTTTCTCCCCCACTGTCCCAGTTCGGATCACAGCTTAATTCTTCAGTGAACGCTGGTGCTCTGATGATGCTTCCATGTAACAAATATAAAGGGTTGAAGGGTTCAGACGTTTCATAGAGAACATTAGTGAACAAAAGTTATCATGAATATGAAGAACACACCAAACAGGTCTGTGATAAAGTTGTGAAGAAGTTTAAAACTATTGTTAGGTTATAAAACATCTTGAACCTTGAACATCTCACAGAGCTCTCCTCAATTCAGGGTTAAAAGCTAAGTAAATACAGGACAATCCTGCTAGAGACGGCCAAAGACTTAAGGCTGCTTAAGACGACCTAAACATTAGGAATGGTTTAGATCAAAGCGTTTCCATGTGTTAGAATGGCCCAGTCAAAGTCCAGACCTAAATTAAAAGTTCAGATCTGCAGCAAGATTAGAAAACGTACATTTGAAAACATTTTTCGTCCAATCGAATTGGCAAAAATGTTCAGTCTGTTGATGTGCAAAACAGGTTGATGCAAACTTTAATTGCAGCAAGAATTGTCTGTACAAATTGGTTGACTTTCCTTTTCCTTTTGGGTATGGTGAAGAGTTTTAACCTCATGTAGGCCATGGAACAAAAGATTGATCTGTTAAGGGCTACACTGACTCAGGGCCTCCTGAAGACAAATGCTCACCACTACTTTCAGATTTTTATTTGTATAGCCATCATGATTTGCTGTACTTTGTGCTGGTCTGCCGCATAGAATCTAAATAAAACATCTTAAAGTCTGTGGTTGGACAATGACGTGATGTTTTTAATGTAAATAAATGCATTTATAATAAGTCGCTGTTGTACCCAGAGGAAAGTCTTTCATGTGTTTGCTATATGTCAATGCTGAGATCGCTGCTCTGGACGATTAAATACTTAGTTATTAAGAGACTTAAAAAAATAAAAAATAAATAGTATCAACTTTAGTCAAACAGAGAATTATGCATTAAAAACACCCGAGGGCTCACATGGTATTGCTTCTTGCCCTTGATTGCAAAAGCGGAGCAGAGAAAATTGCGAACGATCAGACAGAATTTAGGGGACACGATTTCATGTTTGTTTTCTTTGAATTCGCTGCTTGTTATTCTGAGTGTGTGTGACAACTCCAGACTGTTCGTCTTTGCGCGCACGCCCGCGTACACGCGGGGAGATCTGTGTGCGTGAACCAGTGTAGACAAGAGAGTAGCTCGTAGCCAAAGCTTCTGCTTGTTTATGTGGCGCTCCTTTTAAGTCCCTTTTGCTTCTCCTCAGTGCCCCCTAAATAAAAAGCACTTCAGACACTCGCTGTCTGATAGCCTTAACGCGGTGTTGTCCTGGGATGCTCGGGCCTTTCTGGCGGCTGGGGACCGAGCAGCAGGCAAGAGCACATGCGGAAACAAAGGAGAGTAATGAGGATGTGCAATAACTGGGGAATAGGTGCAATACAGGTATGTTGGTGTGAAACAGTGTCCTTCATATTAGACCTCTCAAAACTTCACTGTAATAGTTATTGCTTATTGCCTCTAATTGGTGGAGTCATCCTAGAATGCGTGTAAGGATCAGGCGCCCATTTTCATGTATAGATTGTCTGTGCATCCTTAAATTTATACATCTAAAATTAAGGCCTTGATATGTCTTAAATCTGTTAGAAATATATAATTTTGCCCTAAATATTTTGATCAGAAGTCTTAGATTTGGTCACGGCAGAACTGTTTAGTCTTGTATGTATATATATATATATATATATTCTCGGGACTGTCCTGTCAGGCCAAAGTTTGAGTCGTCCGCAGACATCTTCATTGCTTTCTGTGACTCGAGGCGGTTGCGACTACCGGTAACCAGCTGCTAGTAAACTCTTGCTTCCTAGCTAGCTAGCTTTTCTGTATCTATCATGACTAAGTGCAAGTTGACTATACAACGTTTGTTTTCTCCAATGGCTCATTTCTATTGTCAACCCGTACGAGGCTAGGTTCATTCTGTGCAAAAATATCTGATTGTAATACAGCAGGATCCTCCAACCTTCCCGTACATGTATAGGTTTTTCTGTCTTAAATTTCATTCAAGGTGACATTAAAAGTCCTTAAAACGTCTTAAATTTGACTTGCTGAATCCTGCATTTACCCTGATGTCATACAATTACTTTAAGTGCATATTAGTACTCTAGCTAAACATTAAGGGCCTATGTTCCTTATAAGAACAAATATTGTCATTGCCCCATCTCCTTCAAAACAGTGTCCTAATCATGTGATGTTTTTTTTTTTTTTTTTTTTTTTTTTTTTATCTTTCTTTTTGACATTTTCCAAACTGCAAAGATCTGGCTCCCGCTGCACATGTTAGAGTGGTTTATTTTTGCAGTCTGAGGGACCACTCACTTGTGCTTATTAGCATTTCCACTATGTTATGTTAACTCTCACTGGCAACACTATTAAACGTGCTCTACTGAGAAAAGTCAAAGCTGAGAGGTTTGAAAGGGGGGAGTTAAAGTGAGGAGTTCACTGCAGAGACCGCCACCCACATCCATGCAGAGTACAGTACAAACGCTTGAATTTCCACAGAGACTCCTTCTCTCTGATACTGTATCCAATTATCTCTTTCCGTCAGCCCACCTCTATTCTCAAACATTACTCTTTCATTTAAATCAACTAAATGTTCAGAAAGGCTTTCTACCTTGCAAAACGCATAATAAACATTTTAAGAACTTTTATGCATTTTCATTCCTAACCTGCTGAGTAAGAAAATAAATATACAAAGTCTAATAACTTTTCCTCCTCCCGATGCATTTTTTCTGTCAATCTACAGACAATTTCCGATTTGGAGACCCAAGTGTCAACTCTACACGACGAGCTCCAGCAGGCCCATGAGCAGCACAAGCAAAAGCTGGCCGACATTGCGCTGCTTCAGGAGGAGGAGAGGCAAAAAGCGACGCACGCCAAGGAGGCGTCGATGCTGCAGCTGCGCTCCGACATGGAACGGATGGCCAACGATCTGAAGAAGAGCCACCAACAGGAGATGGACGCCAATCTGGAGAAGGTAAATAGGGGATGAAATACGGGTGAGTCCTGTTGTAAGTTCTCAGTATGTTTTATTGGAAGTAGTGGAGGGGACGGGAAATTGTTGCTTTTTTTTTTTTTTTTTTTTTTTACAAAATGAGGTGTCACGCATATGTGCTCAACAGCTTTGGGAGTCATGTCCCCAAATAAAATTCATTGAAGTCAGTTTCCTTATCAAAACGTTTGATTAGTCAATAGAGTTCACCTGTGTGTGATTTAATCTCAGTATAGATCCAGCTGTTCAGTAAAGGCTTTAGAAGATGGGATGGCAACTCCAGTCTTTGAGGGCCGACGTCCTCCAACTTCCTGCTCCAACACACCGGAATCAAATAATAACAGGGTCATATCCTCAGATTATTCTGCGACTTTAATTAGGTGTGTTTGACCAAGGACACATTGAAGAGTTCAATGATGCTGGCCCTTGAAAACTGGAGTTACCTACCTTTGCGTTAGAGGTTTGTTGGAGGAGATTAGGGAACAAATTGTGTCATGAAGACATGGTAACACAGTAGACAGATCAGAGAGGTAGTTGCAGAAACACTTTAGGCAGATTTAGGTTATAAAACTATATCTCAAGTTTTGAAGACCTCAGAAAGCACTGGTCAATCAAACATCTGAAAATGAGAGGACTGTGGGACAAATTCAAACCTACCACAGAATGTCTTTATAACTAAAGTGACAGGCTTGTCAAGAGGAACATCCAAGAAGACAGGTGGAAGGAAAGAAGACAAGTTTGGAGGAGCTGCAGTGATTCATAGCTCAGTTGGGAAATCCTGTCAACAGGGTTACCTATTAGTCATGTGTTGCCTCTATGGAAGTTTGGGGAGAAGAAAAGCATAAGAAATATTGTTTGATGTTTATCAAAAGCCAAGCAAGGGACACAGCAAAATTGTGGAGGAAGTTACTCTATTGAAATGAGACTAAAAATTAAAGCTTTTGGCTAACGTATAAAATTCTGAACCCACCATCCTTTGGTGAGGAGGTATGATGGTGGTACCATCATACTGTGGGTTTTGATTCTTCAGCAGAGACAGAAACTGGTCAGAGTTGATGTGAATCTGAAGGAGCTAGGCACAGGGCAACTAAGCAGGAAAATAAAACAATTTAATGTGACCAAAATAAGACTTCCTATCCTGGAGATATGATAAATTCTACTAAGATTTTCATCTTTTATCAGTCGGCTACTGCAGCAGGAACCTGGGACATCAACAGCTTTAACCCGAAATGGTTGCCTTCACTACCGCATAGCATGTAGAAATATCCCATGTCAGTGTTGCACTTCAAGTGCTAAACCTATAGATTATTGTTTACATGTGTTAATGTCTGTGCATCATGAATATGTTTGTCCTTCTTTCAGACCGCCATGTCCCCAACTTTAAGTTTGTTCTCAGTCTTATAAGAATTTTAAATGCAATATTTACAACACACCCAGCAACACTGTGTGGATCTTTGTGATTGCAAATGCTGTTTTTTCAATGTGCGTGTGTGTTTGTTGTGAGCTGTAGCTGTAACAGTATTTTTTATCTTCATGCTCTAAGTGTGTAATTTTCCATTCTGTTTTGCAAGTTCATCCATTCAGACTCATCTGCAAAATTATGCTGCATATTCACCAGACATTTCACAAGTCTTCTTCTGTAGCTGTGTACAAGGCCAATCTGTACATTTCCAGTAATTTCAGTGCAACAATCCCAATCTCTGTCTGTTGTGTGCATATAAACAATTGAGGTAACAGTTACGGCACACTGCTAAAGTTGATTTTAAAAAAAAAAATTTTTTTTTTTGATTGATTTAGTCAATCCAAAAAAGTGGAATGATCGTAAGTTATTCTACTTCAAAACTACAGATTAAAGCTGCCGAGTTAATTTTCTGCAACATTACATGATTTAGCTTTGTTTTATGCAACCAGACTAGTCCCCCCCTTCTGGTCAGTTGGCAGAATGCAACCTTCTCCTGAGAGACGTGCCCCCAACAGGCTTTCAGGAAAGAAATTAGTCAAAGATGTACCTCATCTAGATGTTTAAATCAAATGAAAAAAAAAAAAAAAAAAAAACTTAATTACTAATAGATTATTGATGCTTCTTCAGTTTGCATTTACATTTACACAAGCTAAAAACTAGTTTTTTAGAACTTTGGAAATCTTATAAATACTTTTATTACATTGGCTTGTACACGTACTTGTACAAAATGTGAACTTTTTTTTTTTTTTTTTTTTTTTTTTTTTTTTTTTGTAATCCTCTTTCTGCCTGGCCAGTCAGTTCAGGTGGCTGCCTGTGTTCATTTCTATTTATTTTTGGATTGATCAGTTCTCTTTGGGATTTCCAAAATATTGGTGTAAACCCACCCTGCTTTAAACGTCTTATCTTTATCCCTGACCTGCCTGGTGGGCATCTTTGCTCTCCCTGACGCTCTTTGCCTTTCAGCCAGGTCTTGAAAGAACAGCTTTATTCATCCTACAAATAAATTAAACACAGGAGTTGAGCCTTGGTTGTAGTGGATTTCATTTTGGACCACCATAACATAGATGAATATATATATGAAGATAGATTTTTTATTAGTTAAAAATATTGAAAAGCATGAATCATTTTTCTTTTTTCACTCATAAAAACATTGGACTTTATGGTTGCTACCAGATAAAATATGAAATAACACAAAGGGTGTGGACACTTAAACCAGTCATTCTATATCTTCAGAACTTTCCTTGTTTCTTTTTATTTGTTTCTTATTATTCCTCTTTCCACCTTCGTAACTCAACCCACATTGCAAAATCACTCATAATCTTTTGCTAGTCCAGCAGGAACTGACCTAAGGTGGTGTTGATCAGAACCTAATCCTTCCACAGGGCCCCTCAAAGAGAGCGTTTTTCATTAGACACCATCCCACATCAGCTGCACAGCATTAGCTCCGGAATGCATGCACCTCCAAAACACTGAGGCGCCATTTTGGCTCCATATGGCACACAGAACCAAGGATACTGATGTGGTAGAAATCCTAAAAGAAAAAAAAAAAAAAAAGTGCCTCCAGCTTTTCTTCTTTAGGTGCTTGAAAGCTGTTTTGTTGCAAACACTCAGTTTATCTCGTTCTCTTCCATCTTTTTGTGTGCATAAGGAAAAACAAGCCACAGTTATCGAGCAATCTGGAGAGGATTCAAAGCAGTGCAGCCTTGTGTTGAAGTCTGACTGATAACGCGACCAACTGTGTGCTAGTTTCACTTTTTATAAGCGAGATTAATGAGTTCTCCCTCCTTTTTTGGCAACTAAAAGAGGATGCTTCTTAAAAAAAACAAAAAAAAATCCTCGGCAAAGGTTTGACCATCTTATTCCCTCCTCCCCCGCCTTTTGTACTTTCTAATCTTTCTCCAAGTTTGAAAGATGAAGGAAGAAAAATTTTCACTTTGTCGTTGCACCCATAGGACTGAAGTCAGTCAGGCCTCAGATCCATATTGACTCGAACGCCCCGTTTTGTAAGCTAAAAATTTCTCAGTCTTTTGATGCCAACAGAAATGCTGTCCTATGCAGTCCACTTTGCTCTTAGAAGTAGAAGCAGGGCAGCTTTTTCCCCCCTCACCTCCTTTTTTCCTAAACACATCTTCAAGATTTTGATGGAGAAAAAAGAAAAAAGGCTGGAGAAATCCATTAAATCCATGAATGGATTCTCATCAAAGACGCGCAAGTTTAAGGGATAGGCAGTGGAGAGAAAAGGGCTGGATGTTGTGGTGGATCTTATTGGGAGTATACTGTCAAAGCTGTTGGAATGAAATAATGAGAACCAGAAGAATCAGAGGAAATAAGACCAGACCGAGAGATAGTCCTGCACATTTGATCTGCGCCGGAAAGAAAGCGGAGAGGGAAAACTGATGGAGGCAGGCAGAGGGAAAGTTGCGACACTATTGAAGTTTATCTTTGTTGGTGTGCATCCGAGTGTGTGCGCGCATACGTTCTGGGGTGAGAACGAGTACACACAACCTCAGACCTCTCAATCACCCATGCTGCAATGAGGGGACTGTGAGACTGCCTCTGTGCCTGATAAAAACGCCTCATCTCTAGGCTACAGTGAGCAAGAAACCTGCCTTTCACCCACACCACCTCCTTATCTAACTTTCTTTCTTTGCTCCACACCTCCACCCTTCATCTTTATGTCTTCCCCTATATCCTCACCACCCCCTTTAAGTTGTGGCAAAGCTCAGAACATCAGGTGGTTGTCAGAAGCTGGTCTTCACCACAAATCTGAGCTAGGCAGTTTGGAGGCAATTCTCATCTTGTACAAATGCATAAATTCGCACTTTGCCTACTTTCCGTGGCACATTAAGGAGAGTAGATGTTTGCAGTAAGTGTCTCAGAGTTTTGCTGGTAGACTAAAACTTCTTTGTGCAACACAACAGTGCAATTTGTGTTCACACTGGAGAGGTGAGATAATGTGAGACAAAAGATCAAGAGGCTTCAGGTTTGAGGAAATGAATAACGTCTGGAACCGAGAGTTCATATTTACTTTTAGTCTGGAGAGGATGGCTCTTTGAACTGCCAGAGGAGATTAGATGGAAGAAGAAAAAAAATCTCTGAGATGTTTGCGTATGACTTTGTGTGTGTTCGTGTCAATGCAAGCCTGCGTGCTTGTGAGTCTTCATCGAGCGCATGTGTCGCACTAATAGTTACCTAAAAAGAACCCCGATTTTCATGGAATTTAATTGCCGATACGTTGCCTTGTATATTTGCAAGTATTGCGCGCGGTGACAGGTGACAGAAATAATCACGAGAACAGTTTCTGATTTATCCTGAAATGTGAGAAAATGTGTCTGTGCCTAATTTTACTTGAGATCAAGGGCGTTTGGGAATTTCAATAAAAAGAAACAAAGTCACCTGGTGGCAAGACATCAGCAATGGACAAAGCTGGGTTTTTTTTTTTTGTTTGTTTGTTTTTTTTTGGCTCTGAGTAGCCAAACCTTACTTTCTCTGTCGCACAGCCCAGTGTTGGCTTGCGGCAGGT